CTCTCTCTCTCTCTCTCTCTCTCTCTCTTTCTCTCTCGCTCTCTCTCTCTCTCCCTCCATATCTTTCTCTCACCCTTAAACACACAGCCACATTGACCCTCTCTTGTACCCCTCCCCCCCTCAGACCAACCTCCGCCTCCAGCGCGCCCCCAGCAACGATGTACAGCAGCTTCAGGAAGAACTCATCGCCGTCAAGCTACGAGAGGCCGAGGCCAATTTGTCCCTGAAGGAACTGCGCATGAAGGTCAACGAGATCGAATCCTACTGGGAGGTGAGTGAAGGTCAAAGTTATTGAATCCTATTGCAAAGTGAGACGCATAACAAGTAATGGTAAAAGAAAACTTGCAACACCTCCCCCTCCGTCCCCATTTGGGACTGACTTGACCTAGGAACCACATCCAGGGTCACATTGCGATTGGTGCCATGTCTTGCAGGAGTAGAATATGGCTGGCTATGTTTGTGAATGTGCACCAAGACATCGGGGAGGGGCGGGATGACTTATAGTTATACTTTTCTTTTAACCTCTTTGTGATATACGGTCAGTTTGTGCTTAACTGGGCACAGTTTTGGAACCCCAGGGTCCAGGAGTGGTGCTAGATTTAATTTCAAATGCCTACTATTAAAAATATCAGGTCTATGTATTTCTTTTCTTAATTCAAGACTCAAAAATGTAATGAATAAGAGTGCAAACTCCCTAACATTTGTGAATATGATGTTAACAAACGACACTCCCCACTTTGCTTCCAAAAGGCTTGAATTCATATCCCCCATAAGAAAGATAGTCTTAACATTGCATCCCCACCACTACCACCTCTCCCGCCACCACTACACCATCACCAATACAACAACACCCCCCTTCCTTTCAGGCACACATGGAGCGTGTGCGGCAGTCATCTCCGAAGGAGAAGAACAGTAAGACAGATTTGCGGCACTTGCAGGAGGAAGTGATGGGCCTCAAGCTGAAGGAGGCGCGGGCTGTGAGCGATGTGAAGGACGCCAAGCAGAAACTGATGGAGCTGGAGACGCAGGTTGGTGTGTGTGTGTGTGTGCGCGCGCGCGCGCGTGTGTGTGT